GGAGTAGAAAGCCTCATCTTTCTCCCGCGGAGCGGCTGGTAGTTTCAAACCGCTGACCTTAAGGTTCGCAGCCCGATTCGTAACCACTACGCTACTCTGTACAGGGTCATTATGAGTCAGAACCGACTCCACAGCACATAACAACAACAACTATACTATCAGGCAGGAAGTATGAGTAGAATGGTTTAAAAACACAATCCAACTATGCCACTCCTTAGCTGTCCGGCTCTGGGTGACTCACTGAACTCAGTCTTACTCAGTGATTATGAAGATTATTATGATACAGAGCTAGCATAAAGTTGCCTTCTCTAAATAATAGCCATGAGTTTTACTTGTCAATATGTCAGAAAATACCAGATTCTCCTAATAAAGGTCTCTCTAAAAATATTAAAATAGTTAATACAATTGCTGTTGTTAGATGCTGATGAATCAATTCTAACTCACAGCAATCTTATGCACAACACACTGAAACACGGCCAGGTCTTGTGCCATCCTCACACTCGTTGTTAAGCTTGAGTCCACTGCTGCTACCGCTGCATCAATCCATCTCATTGGGGATCTTCCTCTTTTTCGCTGACCCTCCACTTTACCGAACATGATGTCCTTCTCCAGGGACTGGTCCCTCCTGACAATATGTCCAAAGTATGTGAGACAAAGTCTCACCGTCCTGGCTTCTAAGGCGCATTCTGGCTGTACTTCTTCCAACACAGATTTGTTTAACACAATGAGACCCAGCATAAAGCAATTTTCTTTACTAATTAAAAAATTTCTAATTTAATTTTTAAAATGAGTAACATTTTATGAACCCTGGTGTGGTACTGTAGGATAAGCACTGGACTGCTAACCACAAGGCTGGCAGTTCAAACAAACAAGCTGCTTTTGGAAACCGTATGCAGGGTCGATATGAGTTGGAACCAATTTAACAGTACACAAGAATTCAAATGTTTTAAAAAGGCATACCTACAACAACAACAACAAAAATAATACAGTAAAAGGTCTTTCTCCCTTTATTACAGTCTAAAATCTCTCAATTAAACTCATCTGAGCTGGCTTATGGGGGCAAGAGAAGTCACCTGAGATTCTTTCATCCAATACTTAAATAGAAATGTCCAGTTCAGAAAGTGTTACTCTGTTTTTCAATTAGCACTATTCTGAAAATAAAGAGTTTTACAGAAAAATCTCGCTTAAAAATAATACAAATAGTTTTGTAGTTTAAAATTTCTATCTATAAGGTAAAAGCCCCAGTGAATAGCTCTCGTCTTGTCTAGATGGATCTGGTGAAAGGAGATGCAGATACGTTTCTTATAATTCAATAGTGAGTAACTGTTATCATGACTAATTGCGATTGTCACAACTATAAAGGTAAAAGTTTTGTAACAAAAAGGGGGGGAGTAGTTAATCTTACATTCCAGGAACAGAGGACCCTAGGACCATCAAGGGAGAAGAGCACTAACGGAATGTGGGACGCTATCCAGAGAAACGGAAACACCAGAGATGGAAGCTGAGATGAGGACCTGGAGAGAGGGAGCAGCTAAGAACTCTAAACTCATGGAAAGAGAAAGGCTGTGTGCTGGCAGCGAAGAGGCAGGCTTCCAGAATGTGCCCATTGGTTGTTTAAACAACTGTTTATTCCTGAGTGTTTTTGTGTACATTAAAAAAAAAAAAAGGGTGGGGTACAGAGGCAAACACTGTTAACCAGCGGTACATGGAGGGGATTGTAATCATTGCAATGAAACAAAATATGATTGGTTGAGTGCAAATTCGATATTCTCCCATGCAAGCTATTACTCAATTCACAAAAAAAGCTTTTTAAAAAATTTCTATCTATTCATACCATATTGAGCAAATTAAATGAATATACAAAGTGTTTCAACAAACTACTAAGAATCTAATAGAAAAAACTGGGCAAATGTGAAGAAACAGCTCACAGAAAATAAACAAAAATGGCTTAGAAGGGAAATGCAAATAAAAGTATGAGATACCATTTTCATCTATCAGTCATGCAAATATCCAAAAGTTTACTAACAATAATATGGGAAAACACATTCTCATACACAGTGCACATGACAGTAAATTGGTATAATTAATACAGAAGATAATTTCTATCAAAAAAATTTTTTTTCAAAAATTTTTAAATGCAGCAATTTCCTTTAATCCATCATTCTCATTTACAGGAATTGAATTACAAGTTTACTAGTACATGCGCAAAATGATACAAAATAAATAAGATACTCATTCAAGTATTGTTACTCACAGTGACCCTGCACAGGGTTTCCGAGGCTGTAAATCTTTA